GATCTGCTGCCCTGCAGTCCTGGTTCTCAACGTACACACATCCTAAACACACCAGACTTGCACTAAGCTACTTTTATATGGATTAACTCATTTAATTTTCAAAGCCAAGGTGATTAGTACATGTGAAGTTGTATATGTAAATTTCTGCATTTCATTGTAGGCTAAAAAGAAAAAAGAGACTGAGAGGCACTGTATCTAGAAACTGAAGTTCAGAGTTCCATACTGCCTGTGGTGGTGGCAATGAGGTTGAAAGGGTGGCAGTCTACATCAAAAGTTATCTTTCTAATTCAAGATCAGACTTTGCAGGGGAAAAAATGCTGGCCTTTTAGAATCTATTCCACTTCTTCCACTAGTGACAGCTGCCCACCTCTGAGCCAGTGTGGACAAGTCTCTGGGGGAGTAAGAGGTAGTTACACAGCCATTCTGAAGCAAAGAGGATTTGAGCCAGAAGTGACCTTTGCAAGCCTAGATTCCTTCTCTGCCTTAGCACTCAGAAAGGATAACCCAGAAAAACAACTTACAGGACCTCCTCAAAATTTCGAAGGTTGTTGGAAGACCTGTCTGAATTTTAGGATTCCTCCTAAAAGGACAATTTTGTGTAGCAACAGTTTGGGCCTGGAAGGGGTGTGTTTTCTCCTAGGGAGGGAATCCAGAGATGTAACTGTGTTGGTCAAAGGTTTCACCCCTGATGTTTCTAACTCTGGGGCCCCAGCAATGACCAGTACGGAAATCCTTCAACAAAGTAATGGGAGCTATTTATACCAGGAGCCTGCAGGCTCTGAAGCAGGACGGAGTGTGGGAAGAGGGCTGCTCCAATCTAGTTTTAAGTATCTTAAGACACGCAAACCACTTGGCAGCCAGTTTCCAGAACCAGCTGTGTTTCATCTGTGAGGGTCACACACCTTTTTAGAACAGGAGAGGGTGCAGAGTGAAGGAAGACTAACGTAGGCCAGGAGGAAGCCAGGCAGGGAAGGTGAAGATCAGGTTCACGGAGCATGGGAGAAGCCACATTCTAGTAGGATGCAGGACTGGGTTGGAGGAAAAGTAGCTGCTTTTAAGTAGGAAACTCTCCAGGCAAGAGGAGAGCTGCTCTCAGACTTCTGCTCCTGGAGCCCACACACTGAAACCCTGACTTGAGAGTGAACCTGCTGGGTCTTACTTGTCTACCATTCTCAGCACCTAGTGAATAAGGGGATGCCCAACTTCACCCCAGACCTTGCTGTTTGCCTTACCACCAAGATCTCCCCAACCCTTAAACTTTGTATCCTAGTGTCAAGGTCTTTATCAAGTCCTCACTCAGCCTCCCAGATTCTGATCCGTAGGGTGAAGTGCAAGTTATATTCCCAGATGGCATCTCGGGGTTACAGGAGGCAGGACCTAGCTCTGGGATTGGGATGGGTTGTCAGGTGTCCTGCCTAGGTCCAGGTAAGTCCAATTCAACCTTTCTCTCACAGCCAGTGCCCGAGGCCACAGGCTGACACAACTAGGGCCATCTGCTGGGCTCTGCAGCACCAGGGAAGGAGCCTAGGTGGCATCTCATGGCCCTCCTACCCCATGATGCTCCTACCTCTCCTATAGTGATATCTGTCCCAGAGAGGAAAATGTTAGCATGGACCTCTTGGACTTCATATGGAACATGAGAGACAAAAATCTGCATTACACCAAAATACCTGACTCTGGTGGCACAAGTAAAAGGAGTCATTAGGAAAAAGGTTTCAGGAAAGAAGCTTGGAGCAAGAGTTCACCAGAAAGATGAGGATAAAAGGGAATACCAGACCAGAGGAGAGTGTGCACAGAGGCTCGGAGGCTGAGGCAGCAACCTCTGTTTTGATTGCTTCATTTTTGTCACTTGGGCATCAACTTCAATGTGATCCCAGAAGGCTTTCCCTACTCTCAGAGATGCCATTTCCCAGTATTTGGTCCTATTTCCTTTTTGAACTTACCTATTTTTTAAAACACTTATTTGGTTGTTGTCATATTCCACCCCACACACCTGAAAATAAACTCCACGAGTCTAAACTCTTTCTTCCACAGTTCCTAATGTCCAGAACAGTGCAAATAAATATATAACATATGCTCAATATACACAGTTAACGAATGAATGAATCAAGAAGTCTTAAGCAGATGCAATCTGTGAAGAACCGAGAAAGAAAGCAAGAATTCCCTCCCCAGTCCTTGGAGGGAGTAATCCAAAAGAAGACAACTGGAGCTGGGGCGGGGGTCAGTAAGAAGGAAGCAGGAGGAGGGGTGTTCTGTGGTGATAGGGTGGTGGGAGGCGTCGTCCCACCTCAGGGCTACAGAAGAAGAGGGAACTGGCAGAGAGAAGCTAAGGACAGCGGTTTGGTGCACTAACCTGCCCAGCCCATTCCTCAAACCAACCGGGCCTGGGAGGGAGAATCTAAGCCCCTCAAACCGCTTCTCCAGTTTCCCCGCTAGGCTCTTTGGGACTAGTTCAAGTCGCATCCTGGGCGGTCAGGGAGTTTCGCAGGGCTCCCTTCCTGCCTACCTTCCTCCCTCCCTTCCCTCCTTTTTTCCTGGCCCTCCGTCTTTCCAGCTCCCCAGCCAGGCGGCCCAGGAGCAGTCTAGCAGCCCCCACCCCCTCCTGTAAGGGCGAAATTGCTAAACTTGTAGCAATAATGACCCTGCATTCAGGCAGTCGACTCCCGCTGAAAGTCTCCGCGCCCCGGCCCGCCCGGCCTAATCAGCGCGCCCCTCCCTGCCGCCCGCCCAGCCCCCGTCCCTCTTGCCGCCCCTTCCCCCAGGGCACAAAAAATGGGGAACAAAACCCCCGCGCATTTCTCCGTCCCTCTGTTAAGCAGACTGCTGCACAAAGCCCCCGCTCTGAGAAGCAATGGGGAGCTCGGGGGGGACGTCAATCCGACGCGCTAGGGTTTTTGTTCCTTCAGGGGACCTCGCCTTCCTACCACACCTTTTGTTCGGGACTCCAATAAAAAGCCATTCTTTCCGCACCTTCCCGGCCCGGAGCCGCCTTTCAGCGAGGCCGGGCCCCACAATGGTGCGGCGCTCTGAGGCCTCCCCATTCACCCGCCTTGGCACGCTCACAATCGGCCGTGTGGCAGCACAGGCCTCGCACAGGCATTCTCCGCAAGTGACAAGGAGCTGCATAAAGCCGCGGCCGCCGGGGGAGAAGGGAGGGCTGCCGAGGGGGAGAGCTGGTCCGCGGC